TACCATTGTGTTCATATGCAGAAATCAACGCTTTTCTGTGGCAGCATTATCCTGCTGGAGTACACATGAAAACTCAATTAACACCCTAAAAGAAATAAAGATCACTTTCAAAAACACTCATTCAGTTGATAGTGGTAGGGTCCAAGCCATCTATTTGATGCAATAATAATTGCATTACAATATATCTAAATCTAATTAGAGAAAAGACAAAAATTAATGGACTTTTGAGCTCATTATTTTTAGGATAATGAACTCTTTTCCAATTAACTATCATTCCTAAACCCTAAATCAATCTTCTCTGTGAACTCGGAAAGTCTCATTTGCAGCACAAATCCCGTATTTCATAGAGCAGAGTTTCTTATTTGTGGACCACTTAATGTGGCCTCATTGCATTCATGGGGTGCCGATTCTAGATAAATTGAGAAACAGGATTATCACAAGGTTTTAAATAATAAAATTAATAACAAGATTTGAAATGAACAATATTCAGAATATTTTGTGTCAGTGAGATGGATGATGTTATTTGAAATTTTTCACCAACTTATTTATATTAGGCCTACTAATGAATATTGTGAATTATGTATACTGTCCCATACACAGTTGATTACTTCATTTATTCTTTATTTCTACCAAATTAGAAATTCTTAACTAGCAAATATAAGTCACCTAAAATGAGTTTGAATGTTTTGTGTCTCTGCTTATAATTCTGGATAGATATTTGGATCAAATATGAAATTACATTTTAAGTTATTGAGAGATTTCATATTGAATCCCATGTCCTGTATGCTAAAAGATGCTAAATTGATTACTACAATACATTCAAAAGCATTTGAATGATCTGGAAAGGATATAGTGGTAATATATTTCTAATTCTCTTTTTTCGTATTTATTCATGAAAAATATTTCTTCATGTTCTGTTGCAACATTTAAACCTGTTTTTTAAAATATATTATAGTGTGTCATTCATTTTTTTATCTGACAAGTGAAAAATAAATATGCGGACTGAAAAAGAATCACATTCTTGGCAATTGAGCTGTATGCACCAGTTTAGACTTCTTCAGAAATTCTGTCGTCTCAGCATCAATATTAACATCATGTTGTCACTAAAGTAATATATTCAGACTATCCAAGTCACCAAACATATTTTTGAGATATGTCACAGAGAAAAAGTCCCTGAAATGAGAGAAACAGATCTCAATCTTTTTTTGGTGCTAAGAATCTTTAAAGAACTCTTAGCCTTCATTTGAAAAGCTCCCAGGAGCACCCTTCCCCTTGATAACTAGCATACTTCTGAGGGAAAAATTGTCTTCTTTTCACTTTTCACCTATATCTATGAATAGGAACCTGAAAACTCAGATATTCAGTGGCCATGATTACCCACATTCACAATGTTTTCTATTTACTTGAAAATTCAATCCAGATTGGGCATATTGCCAACTATTGTCTGAAGAAAAACAATATATGACATTAAATGTATAGTTTTTATTTGCATATCAAAACCCTACTTGTGACAAATATAGTGATTGCTACTTGTTATTGATACCAAACACAATTATCCAATCATAGTTGAAAGGATTGTTGTGTGTTTCCCCATATACTAATTGAGAATGGATTCATGTCAGGATGATCCTCTACCTGTTTGGCAAAATATTGACCAGAAGCACAAATAATTGCTCTTCCATAATGTATGCCATTAATACCCATCTGATTTTGTCTCCTTCCACTGTCTCCTTTACATACTGTGTTTTAGTTGTACAGGCTTTTTTTCTCTTGTATGGAAATGCCCAGTTTTTGCTTGCCATAGTACCTCTGCATGAGCTTGTCTCTCTATCCCCACATAAATAGGGGTTGCTATCCTCTATTTCACGTGGCTGCTTCCTTCTCATCATCCAGATCTCAGCTAAAAGTCTCTCCTCAGTAAAATCTGTCCTAACTTCTCAATCTGTATTACCACACTCCCAGTCACTCACCATCACATCCAGAAGGGATACCAAAAGTTATTTAACGATCTGTAAGCATGAACACCAATCAGAGGGGAAGTGGGCTATGGACAACAAGTATGGCTGTATTGGTATGCAACCGCTGAGCATTTACCCAGACAACATTAAGTTCTTCTAGTATCTTCAGAGCATTTGCCACTATCTGAAATTACTCTTGACTTGGCTGTTATTTGCCTCCTCCCAAGAAGAATACAAACTCCATGAGAGCAGAGATTTCTTCACTGTGTTCCTATTATCTAGAATAATCTTAGGCACATAACAGATGTAAAATATGGCCTGCGAATGGCCCTAGTTTTTCTCTGAAGAATACTACTTTGAATAATATCACTACAGTTTCAGATTCTTATGTACTATTAGCAACAGTGTTAGATTACCACACATAGGAAAACATTATTTTCTTATCATTCTAGGAAAAACTCAATGAGTTTGCCGGGCAGATTACTGCACTTTGCTTGAAAATGGATGGCGCAAAAGCATCAGTGGCTCCCTAACAGTACCTGACAGGCTTAACAAGTTCTGAAGAGTTCATAGACACTGTCCACTCCCTCCAAGGACCACCAGTGGGCCATGAACTACACGTTGACAAACACTTTTTTTTCTTTTTTCGCTGAGGAAGATTTGCTCTAAACTAACACCTGTGGCCAACCTTCCTCTATTTTGTATGCTAGCCACCACCACAGCATGGCCACTGACAGATGAGTGGTGTAGGTCAGCACCCAGGAACCGAACCCAGGCTGCTGAAGTGGAGTGCACCAAACTTAACCATTAGGCCATTGGGCTGGCCCAGATAAACACTTTTGTAGAGCAAATTTTGACTTCAGGTCAATAAGTGTCCAAACTTCTATTAGTGCCAAATTAGGGACTTTCACAGTAATTTCTATGTTATCTTTCTCATATGAAAGATAAGCAAAACTTTAGAAAACAGTAAGATTAAGTGTCTTAAAATGGTATGGAAAAGACAGAAGTTTCAAAAAAATTTCTAGAAGCTTTATAAATGATTCTGAGATTTGAGATTCAAACTACACATAAGGATGGTAGTCATCGAATATACTAGAGGCTTATAAAGTACCAAACTCTCTCCTGAATTTTCCTCATCTGTGAAATAAGGATAATAGCACTTATTCTGGGGGTTGTTCTGATGAAAAATAAGATGCATATGAAGAATCTAGCAGACTGCCTGACAGTTTAGTAAGTGCTCAATAAATATCGTTATTAATAACCATTTCAGCAATCTGAAAAAACAGACATGAAGTATAGCTCTAACAGCTCTGAGAGTTTGTGATCTTCTGATTCCAGGCATGCCTTGAAGTCTCCATTCAAACGCTGGGTCAGCGACGCAGATCTAGTGCTGTGCAGTAGAGCACCAGCCCGCTCCATCTTTCAGCCTCCCTTAAAGTAACAACCTTAGGAGGAGAAGTCCGTTAAAAAATTTATAGTAACCGTAAAAACTCTTCTTCCAAACTCATACTCCAAAACTCCAAAACATTATGAGTATAATTGAATTACAATTATTGAGTTATGAAGCTGAATGGGGATTTATAGTGCAACCTCCTGGTTTTACAGGTGAGGAAAGTGCATCTTGGAGGTTAAGCCATTGGCCAAGAGTCCTACAACTACTTTCATTCAATTCAATAATGTCTATTAAGTATTTACTCTGCACAAGGTAACCTGCCTGCTGTTAAAAGGAATAAAACATAAATAAGGCATAAGTTCTGCCTCTAAGTAGTTCACAGCAATGGGAGAGGAGAAAACACAAGTATCAAAAGATGATAATAGAGGGGCCAGCCCAGTGGTGTAGTGGTAAAGTTCATACACTCTACTTCAGCAGCCAGGGGTTCGTGGGTTTGGATCCTGGGTGCAGACCTACAGGCTACTCATCAGGCCATGTTGTGGCGGCATCCCACATATAAAATAGAGGAAGATTGGCACAGGTTAACTCAGGGACAATCTTCTTCAAGCAAAAAGAGGAAGATTGGCAACAGATGTTAGGTCAGAGCCAATCTTCCTCACCAAAAAAATAAAACTAAAAAATGAGAATACACGACACAGTCTGTTGCAATAATGGTGCCCTGGTAGATCAAAAAAGAGATTGCTTCTGCTTGGATGCAAAACAGGAAAGGATTTTTTTTAAGTGAACTTATAGATGAGCCTTGAATGTTCTCTCAGCTTTCACCATGCTGAGATGAAAGGTACGATGATCCTTCCAGGTAGAAGGATCAACAGAAGCAAAGGCAGCAGGAGAAAATTAAGGACAAATTTAGGGGTCATAGAGCTGTCCAATGTGATTAGTGCACTGGGTACAGAAATTATAAAAAATCAGATAGAAGTGTATAAATAAAGGTTTGGGTTGCACTATGGCTGGCCTTGAACACCATCTAGAGGAGTTTAAATGATTCAGAAATCTGAGGAGAAGACTGCAGACACTTTATCAGGAGAATTGCTTTATATAAACTGTGGTTTAGGCAGATGGGTCTGTAAATGCCATGAGGAATGATTTATCTCAGAGAGAAACTGGAACTGGGTGGATGAGTTTATTCAACTGTAATATAGATCAGAAACATATAGTTTTTCTAGCATATTGACAGGGCCTGTGGAAAGAAACAAGAAATGTAGTAGCAGCAGAGTTGATTGTGTTTGGCAACATATTGAATTTAGGATTAAGAGAGTACAAAGGTCAAAGATAAAAGGAAAAAGGAGAGACTTTAACAAAAGTACATAAGGCCAATAGCAGGAAAAATGTTTATCTGAAGAGAAAAGATGGCTGGTTTAGTCTTTGGCCTTAGGCTGATGTATTGACAATGGATTCCATTCATTTCAGTGAGCATAAACTTACACAGAGTTGGCAAAAGCAGATAGAAGGCTTGTGAAAGCTAAATTCTGGAGTCATCCGCATGGAGATGGTAAAGTTTTTGGAGTAGGTAATATCAAAACAGACAGCTAAAGGAGAGGATAGCAGAAGAAAAAGTATTGGGGATTACTTTCTTTAATCTCTTTTTATAGCAGAAGGAAGAACTGTCAGAAAAGGACATAAACACAGTGCGTTTGGAGAAGTGAAGGGGAGGCTCCCCAGAGTACAAAAGAGGAGACATTTCGAGAAGTGAGTGGTAACACTTGCTTGTTTGCCCTTCCCTCTCTTCACACGCTTCCATCTTTCCTAGAACTGCATCTGCCCCCGTGGGGTCACACATTTTTTGAGGCAGCATTAGAAGAACATACAGAGAACCAGAGAATGGGAGAAAAAATAGTGAGATACTGCACAACTGAGGCCAAGGAGAGTTTTTGAGTGTGGAAAGGGAGACAATCCAGAGCAGCAGAGGTGGGGCATTTGGAGAGAGGGGCCTGTACCTGGTAAGTATTAGGTGGGGTTACAAATAAATCACCTTTAATGTTCTCTGAGGAACATAATTAGAGATCAGAATTTCTTTGTAATCAATCTGATGCTGATCTGTGCTCATTCTGTACAGCTTTGTGGCACAGACCACACAGGACCCACTTCTCACGAGAATGGTTCTAGTCTTTAATGAGAATCAGGCCAGGTGCCCTAATGGTTAGGCACTTTACACACATATCTTATTTAATTCTTAAATTCATACTGTAAGATAATCATTATTATACACATTTTATGCATAAGCAAATTGCAACAAGATCAGGGATGAGGACAGAAAAAGCTAATCTAATGTGCTGAGGGGACAGTCCCTGTCCATCTTTGCTAGAGGAGTTTCAAAACATTGACTAGCAAAGCAGTCAGTGGTTGAAGGCCTACACTATTTGAGAGTGGTAAACAAGTGGAGACAATAAAACTAGTCTAATATTACACATTTCTTGATAGGCAAAGTGGGTGCATATAACATATTGAAGACCACCAGCTTGGAGTTAAACAGATGTGTTCAAATCATGATGCTGTTACTAACTATTATGTCTATTTCAAAACATCTTTTAGCATCAGTTTTGACATGCATATAACGGAGATGAAAATAGTACCCATCTCATTGGGTAAATGCACGATTTAGACAAGTTAATGCATGCAGAATACTTAGCACAAAGTTTGGCCTAAAGTAGCTCAAAAAATTTTAGTTATTACTAATAATATAAGTGTTAAAAGTCTAATATTTACCCCAGAATTTGGTAAGTATTTAATATTCTTAAGGTTTTAATAATAGTACCTACCACACGCCAATCATACTGTATCTTTATGAGTTAGTATTGAGCAGGAAAAGCACTTTGAACACTGCATATGCTTATTCACACATGCTTATTAAATATTAAATCAAAAACTTTATAAACTGTCAAATGGCAAGCATGATTAAATTTTTTTACAGAATTATATAAATTTGAGAATGTTTTAAAAGTAGAAAATATTTCCTAAATTTCTACCTGTGGTGATCTAGGCTTTTGAGGATGAGGAAGTGTTGCAGGCATTGGAGTATCAGATATTTCTTTGCAAAATACTACTGCATTCCACCTCAGCCGCTCCATCCTGCCTTGACCAGGAAAGATACAAGCTATGGTAAGTATACTCAGTATAAAACTTTCACTAAATCAGAGATAATTAGATTTTTGCCAGAACAGAGAAACTAGAAAATATTTTGATTTCTGTTATTACCAAATCTTGATCGTAGGTAATATGAAGAGGTTGAATAACTAGGTTAAGATGATAAACCCAATCTCTAGTCCATACTTCTCCTTAGCAAAGAGGTATCAGTGAATATCTAGTCCTGCCCTATTTCTTACAGTAATTTCTAGGGTGGAGAGAGAGTGAAGCAAATGTATTACAGATAGACAGATAGAGATAGATAGATAGATAGATGGATAGAAAGATGGGTAGATAGACAATGTATATTTATTATATATATATGTAATAAATTTCCCATACAAAAGTCAGAAGAGCAAAAACCATTATTAGTTCAAGAAGAATGTAGCTATCGTTACTATTTATAAATCCAAAGACAGAACACTTGCACATCTACACTATTTTTATGTTTCCCTTTTTTTTCACACTCACTAAAAGCTTCTATTTCCTGAGGAAAACAAAAGCCAGTGGAGAAGAAGAAAATGCAAGCATAGGAAAGGATAACCTATGAAAGTAACATGTTTTAAAAGACGGAAAGAGAAAGAATCAAAATATAAATAGAGTGATGTTTCTTTCAGGTAAGCAAGCACTATGGTTTTTTTTTCCTCAGACACAGATGAGAAATATTTCAATTCTAGTTAAGATTTATTAAGTGTCTATTACCAGGTTCCACGCTCTGTATCCTGGAATTAGAGATACAAATGAGAAAATATGGGCTCCGCCCAAGGAACTCACACTTCAGTGAGAGGACGAGCCCGTTAAATTAAGCAAAGAAAATAATCACTTACAAAATTCCTCTGTGATAGAACCATGAGTCAAGCACTCCAGGAACAGAGATGACATTGATTCTGCCAGCAGGAACAGGGGAAAACATTACAAAACAAGTGACATTTGCTTGTGACTAGAGTTAAAACCAGGATTTTGCCAGAGAGATAAGTTGTGATGGAAAATTCTAGCAGAGAAAATGTGAGCAAAGTCACAGAGAAGTGAAACAAAAATGAAAGGAAAATTATATAGAGACATTGATAGACAAGGAGGTGGATAATTGAAAGCGTTTGTGTTCCAGGACTTTCTGTTCTCATAAAAAGAGAAATCTATGTTTGAGAGGGCTCATGTGAAGGGAGGTTTGGAATGCGAGGCCTTTGGGGAGTGATAGAGGGTTAATAAGAAGCAATAGGTGTGACCTTAGTTATGAGTTTAGGCCTCATGAATTATAAGTGAGCTAGGAAGCATGTGTTATGTGAATTTCTCTCAGTGATCAGTGGCTAACAAAGAATTAAAGTCTTCCTCTCCTGATTCTTAGTGAAGGTTTCTGCACTAATATACAGTATTGGTTACCGAAACGGTATTGCAAGAAAGGCCAGACTCTTGTTTTACCCTGGTGGATGACACAACACATAGAGATAGTTAATAAACAGGCATATGACTCGCAAATTCCCAGAAAAATCGTTCTGTGAAAAGCCAACCTCTTCAGGCCCTAGTTAGAATCGAGTAACCACTTAGAGATTAAAAATAACAAAACCAGGGGATTTTGAGCAATATGTCTGGCTGGAGTAAAATTTAGTTACTTTTACCAAACAAAGTTACTTTCACTAACATTACCCAGAATCACTGAAGCACAGAGCAATAGGAGATCAAAGGAACAGTCACCAACCCCAAATCCAAAAATCAAAGGCACAGCTGGGTGTGCGCACACACACACACACACACACACACATATACACACGTGCCTTGGCCCTTAGCTAAAAGACTCTTAATATATTTTCAAACTGTTACTATGGAAAATTTTAAACATATACAAAAGTAAGAACAGTAAAATGAACATTCTTATACCTATTACCCAGCTTCAATAATTATAATCTCATGGCCAGTCTAGGCTGATGAGTTGTTAACTTCTTTTCTGTTTCAAGAGGTTTTATAGAGACCTGAGCAGTTGTATAAAAGATGACAGATGTATTCAAGAGAACAGAAACTATTTCATGCCTACAAAGAGTACATATCGGCTTAACAAGGTTGTAAAATATAAAGCCAAAGGTTGCAAAAGCCTCTTTTCAAATATGCATAGAATGAACCATAAAGAGCACACAGAACAATTGTATTCCATCCTCACAAAAGACCAATAAAATTATAGAGCTTAAAATGCCCCCAGAGGGTTTATATAAGCTCCAAATAATTTTTGACTACAGCATAATTTAACACTGGAAGGGGCTTCTATGGGAAGCTATTAATTTCCATCTGTGATGATCATTAAAAATATCATCGACATCCATTTATCTTTGGGGCACAGAGCTGTCACTTAAGTATCTTTCTATCTTATTCATTTATTTGTGTATTAAATCAAATTTTACTACATGGAATTCAAACAGTTATGCTGAATTCTAAGTGATGCAATCAATTTTTTAATGCAGAAATGTGTTAATATTTCCAATTTGGTGTAAGTGCAGTTAATTTGCTAAGGATTTATGTGATATGGTACTTACGATTTTATGGGAAAAAGCAATCAACAATTTTGTCTATCTTTGTTAATTTAATCAGTTTACAAATAAATATATATATATTTATTTTTATATATAGCTTTCATCTGATTATTAAAACAAATTTTGACCCCTGTTGATTTATTTTCATTATGTACAAATGAAGAAGAGCAGACTATCCACGGCTTCCGCCTAACTCAGCAGGCTCCTTCCAGCTCTTCCAGGGAGTACTAACTAAGTTATTTGTTAACTGGCTCAGTCATCTAATTCAGCATCATTTTTTCCCCTTCATACTACATTCTTTGATCTTCAACCACTCTCAGATTGGTAAATACCAATTTGCACAAATTCTCATGATATTCAAATATACATTCTGCTAAATCAGCTCTTACCACTTCCAATTATTATCCAATTACTTGAAAATATTTTCTTTCTCTCTTTCCACACATTTTGTGAATTAGGAAAGAAACACCTCAATTATGGCTCATAAATGTTATTGGGGTGATGGGTATATGCCTGCAACAAGAAAAACAGAAGTCGTGAGTTTTGAAGTAAATCATATATAGTAAGGAAAAAATATCAACCTATAAAACCATGAAACTCCCCTGAAGTTCCTTTTAAAGTTATTTTCATCTTCCTTATCATCTTTTAATAATTAATCTGCTTTTACTCAAATGCAAGGATGTGAGATAAATATTTATTTCTGTGTTTGTGTGTGTGTTTATCCAAATCTAGTGTTTACTAGAAGCTAGGCACTGTGCAAAACTAGGAAAATACAGTGGTGAGCAAAACTAGATGTGGCCCCTGATTTAATGGAGGCAACAGACTAGTGCAGGAAAGAGACATTAATCAAATATTTGTTTTTAGTCTTAATCTTTAAAGCAATGAGAATCCAATGGAGAGTTTTAACTGTGAACACGTGTGAATGTGCTGTATGTGTGGTATGTATATGTAGAGAAGTGACATGTTCAAATTTGCATTGCCAAAGGATCATATTGGTTGCAAGGTGGAGAAATTTTTAAAATAATTTTTATTAATTTGTACTTTTTTATGACTAGCATTATAAAATATGTTCTCTTGATTGTGAATATAAAGTTTTGTCTATATATGTCCAAAATTGGTTTATTCAGGCTAGCCTAGAAATCTAAGCAAAGGTTTTAGCATTGTTTGCAAGACACAGTGCCGTGCAAAGACCAAATACCTTATTAAGAAGACTAGGAAACTAACCACTCCTATAAATGCACCTGCTATTCCTTTGGGCTATTTTTTAGATCTTTGTATATTCATCACGTTTTATGACCTTTCATCAATAGTACAAATAGTACTATAGTACAACAGTACAGCGGTCCTGACTCCAGCATACACAAATACAAGTATTTTTTACTTTTTTGAAAATTAGTATTTAATTGATCCAAGTAACTATTGCTTCCAAAAGAACAGGCCAACTTTAAGACAAAGAGGACCAAAATTCAGCCTATATTTATGCACTATCTACTTATGATGAAAAAAACTACATCAACCTTTAGTAACTATAGCTAGTTATGAACCTTACGAACACATGCAATTATCTACTCTATTAAAACTGCAAAGTTGTTTCCATAGAAACTTGGAAACTTGGAGCTGTAAGCTCCTAGAGAAAAAGGATTGCATTTTATTCATCTCACTATTTTAGGGCCTAACAAAGGGTTTAGAACAAGTCTTAATTAATGTTTGTTATTTTACTACATAAAATGTCTTTCAAAAGTCTATTTTAGTTACAACTTCAGATTTAATTGCAATATGCCCAAAGGAAAGTTGTTGATTGACAAATTACTACTTAAAATAGATAATTTGATGACCATTTAGCAAAGTTTTTGGTGTGTGTGAGGAAGATTGGCCCTGAGCTAATATCTGTTGCCAATCTTTCTCTTTTTGCTTGAGGAAGATTGTCACTAAGCTATGTCAATCTTCCTCTGTTTTGTATGTGGGATGCCACCACAGCATGGCTTGATGAACGGTGTGTAGGTCTGTGCCTGGGATCTGAACCTGCGAACCCCGAGCCGCTGAAGCAGAGCACACGAACTTAACCATTACACCACCAGGCCAGTCCCTAGTCAAATATTTTTAAAGTAATATGCATTCAATATTCTTATTTATCTTAAAACATAATTGCATTTATTCAAATACAATGAAATGAAAATAAAGCAATAGAAAATATAATGACCTCATTATAGGGACACCAACACCTCAGTTTGCCTAAGACTGAGGAGTTTCCAGGGATGTGGGACTTTCAGTGCTAAAACTGGTAAAATCCAGGCAAACTAGGACTTTTGATCACTAAAACTCGCTGTACATAACAAGTATCACTTTCCCTTAACGTTTTTTTGAGACTGTGTGGTGTCTCTGTTTTGGTAGTCTATTTAATTATGAAGTTTCTAAGTAAGAGTGAAAAATTAACACTAACAATTGGGCCTATGGGATCCCAATAGCCATTCTTTGAGACTGCAATTTGCTCAAGCTTCAGTTTGGTATCAGGTTTTGGCCTGATTGCCTGAATTGCTCCTATTTTCTTTTCTGCTTTTACTAATAGTCACTGAAACAATTGGAGGACTTGAAAATCCGGATATTCATTCCCATCAAACAGGTTTTAACAGAATGCAGGTGATTCATCTACCTCTTAATTGGCCAAAGTTTCAGTTTGGTCTGGATTCATGGCTGAGTAGTTGGCGGCATAAAAATAGCTTAGCATGAAACAAGCTAAGAAGACGAAATTTTCATACCTTTTCATACCATTTGCAAGCAATAATTAAATGGAAAACGTTATTGATATACTTGGCTCTTAGAATCCACAATGGTAGCTGAAATGAAAAGAGAAGGAATAACAGGAATGCCCTGAAACAAGACACGAGGAAAAAGACAATGAAAGTATTTTCTAATCAGTATAGTGAAAAAGGAAAACTTAAAATTTCCAGCTTGATTCAACATAAGATTTGAGCTATGTGTAGGCAGGGGAACACATGTATTTAGGGAGAGACGAGTTGACTATATTTGGTATTTTTAACAAAGTTTTTTATAGAGCAAGTTTATGGCTTTATAATGAAATGGGGAGTCACAATACACTGAGACAACATCCGATGAAGACTACTGAGACTGGAGCCATTGAAATCTCTTCTTTTTCTTTTCTTTTTGTAAGCCACATTTGGAGTGAATTCCAGATTTATACAGATTCATTGAACATAATCAAAACAAACAGTAAATTATCTACTATGTTTTCTAGGAACAACAAACATTTAAAATGGGATCATTTGTCTTTTCCTCTTTTTATATGAAAATTACTCGGAACAAAGCAGGTGCTCTCAGTGTAATAGACTGCATGCTCAGCCTTGAAACCGCTGATTTATGAGATCCATAGACGGAGATGACAGGGGAGATGAGCTGGATGGTCTCCTTGAATGTCACTTTGTATGTGTTATTTGAAAAATGAGCGTGGTGCCGACATTTGTCACATTTAAATGCCAGATTGCTGTTGTCAAATGTGACTGAAGTTTTCAATGAAGCAGAAGGATAAGGAGGGATTTAGAAAGTTGCATATACACGACTAGGGAACTTAATTATAAATAAGACAATCTGTGTATGCAAATACCGAAGAAACTTGTGTTAAATTAAATCACTGACAAGTTAAAAGTTTATTTGTATCTTCAACATTCTGTCCCACTGGTGTACTTCATGGGAATATATTAAGTAAGTTAAATGAGGAAATAGACAGTGTTATTCATAATGCCCCTTAGAGCCTTTAAACTATAAAGATGCTTTGTGTAACTCTAAATAGAACTTTGTCAGTATGTGAAAGGTTACATTTTGCCACAATTTAAATTTTGAAATTCATCTTCCACATATCAAAAAGCAATTCAATCAGCCCAATTAAAAATGTAATTAAGTTCTTTGAAAAATGTGCTCCAGAATTGGCAGAATTTGCTCATTACTCAGGAAGCTAAAATTGAAATAAAATTTTTGAGAATGAATCAAAAAATCAAAACAAAAATCAATCAAATACAACTAATGAAACATTGTTAGAGGTTATTTTTCTGCTCAATTATAAAATCATAATCCTAGTTATGCGAATAAAGAGTGTGGATGTCATGGAAAGCAAAAAAGGATGTGGCAGGTAAAACGTCAATAAAGCTTTAGAAAAAATGGAGATTCTCTTTAAAATATTTACTTGTGATAGTGTAAGCAAAATAGTTTGTTATTATGCGCTAGCAGGTGAAAAACATAAGGAAAGTCTCATCTCACACATATCTTATATACATCCTTTGAAAAATGCCAGTTTGGAGGCTATTAAGTCAAGGAGTTATGTTATTTAAAACCATGGCTTCTATATATTTATATTGTGTGAAATGGTCTCTTCATATTAATTTTAATAGAAAAATGCATGTAATAAGAATTTAGTTAATATAGATGCTATTTTAATATAGCTTCATAATATGTGGAAAAAGTGAAGCAACGTTGATTGACATGAGAACTTGCTATGCCCATGTGTTGTTCTACCCTGTAGGAAAAGTCCAACACCTAGGCTAGTGTAGCTTCATTACCAACATCTCCTCTGATGTATATTTAGTAATGCATTTAACATATGTTTTCAGTAGGTTTTACTCTCTGCAAGACAGACTACCTTCAGGGAGAATCCTTAGGGATTATCCAGTAGCCTCCATTTTCAGATGAGGAAGAAATACACACACATACACACACACACACAAAGCCACTTATCTCAAGACATATTGTGTAGAATTGGTGTTTTCTTCCTTAATCACTTGGAAGAATTTCTCAGTGAAGCCGTCTGGGTCTGCATATTTCTTTTCCACAAATTTTTATTACAAATTCAGTTTCCTTAATAGTTATGGTGCTATGGAAATTATCAACTTTGTATTGGGTGAGTTATGGTAGTTTGATTTTTTGAGGAATTGGATTATTTTATTAGTTGTCAAATTTTTGTGTGTAGAGTGGTTTGTAGTATTCCCTTATTATCCTTTAATGTCTTCAGGGTCTATGGTGATATCCAATTTCATTCCTGATATTGATAATTTGTGTCTTCTCTTTTTTTTCTCAGTTTTACTAGAATTTCATCAATTTTATTGATCTC